ATTTACTGCCCCTGGTCCTCATCTAGAGGTTTAGGAATGCAGGGCTCAAAGATGCAAGAAATATTGGAATTCTGGCTGCCAGTGAAGACTGAGGCAAAGAATACAGCCTTCTCTTCATCTGTTGAAGCCAGTTCTCCTTTTACATTTACCAGAGGAGGTACGCTCATTTTGGCCTGTCTCTTCTGGCCAATGTACCTGTACAATGTTCTTGAGAGTGAAGATAAATCCCCTAGAAACATAAATATTCAAGAAACTAGTTCAGTAAACTTATCTACATTTACAATCATTTACAAACAGATTGCTTCCCAAAAAGTTGACTGAGCAGTATCAAATATTGCAGTCACTATGAAAAGTGGCTGTAAAAAGAAATTTTCACATTTCACACTGTATCTCATACAAGCTTCAACAAGGGATCGCTAGTGACTATACCAGAGTTTGCAGGAAAAAGCTCACAGAATCTCAGAATGGTTTGGGTTGGAAAGGACCTTTAAGATCATCTAGTTCCAATTCTCCTACTCTAGGCAGACACCCAATAGATCAGGTTGCTCAAAGTCCCGTCCAGCCTGGCCTTGAATGCTCCCAGGGAGAGAGCATCCACAACTTCGCTGGGCAACCTCTTCAGTTTCTCACTGCCCTCACAGTAAGGAAATTCTTCCAAACATCTAGTCTAAGGTTATCTTTTTCCAGTTCAAAACTATTTCCCCTTGTCCTATCACTACATGCCCTTACAAAACGTTCCTCCCTAGCTTTTCAGTAGACCATTGGAAGACTGCTATAACTTCCCCCTGGAGCATTCTTTTTTTCTGGGTGGAAGAGTTCTCAGCCTGCCTTTGTAGGGGAGGGGTCAGCCTCTAAACATTTTTGTGGCGGTCCTCTGGACGCACTCCAACAACTCCATGTCCTTCTTGAATTTAGGGCCCCAGAACTGGATGCAAGAGTGAGCTTCAACAATAGCCCGTTCAAAAGGCTGATGTTCTGACTTAACAACAACAGAAGTTGTCCTCTTTTATATGAACACCTCTATACATGGCAGGGCTTTTATTTGCAGAATTTATGCATATTCCTGCAGATGTTGCTGAGAATAAATATTTCTTAATTAATAGGAGCTGTAGTTACATATAACTGTACCATAAAACATACAAAAAATACATCAAGAGAATACTGTCCTTTTCAGCAAATCTAGTATGAACAGATTCAGTAAGCTTTATCATTATTATTTTGTTCATGGTCTACATAAAATCTTACTATTTCCAAACAGAAAACGTAAGTGGAAAAAAGATGAGTTCTGTCTCAAAATCTGCCAATAAAAAGATTATGAGATTAAAGCACACATTGGAAGAACTAGCAGTATACCAGATTTGGCTCAATTAAAAGCACTGCAATTGTCCCAACTAAATTTTACTGATCAAGCAATATGCCTCTTGCTAAAGCTTTGAACTGAAACACTTATGTACATGAACACTTATCCTGCTTCAGTAGAACCATTCACACAGGTAAAGTTATTCTCGTAATTTAAGAGGAGGAAAAAGGTCAGATGAGCGTAAAGCTTCTATTATGAAAGAGATGCAGTGATCACGAGCACCTATATTTGTAAAAAGAAGCATGCAGATTTAGTATCTATACTGAGTAAGGTATTTTTCCCAAGACTGTGCTGATACACTTGATTAACTTCAGCAAAAAAGAAATAATTATCTTTTTTTTTTTCTTTTTTCTTTTTTTTTTTTTGTCTTAAACACAGCTGACAGGCTGTGTTTTTCACTATTATAATCAAACATACACTGGGCATTAAATCCATGGGCCATAACTCAAGCAGCCAGAAAAACCTTCTCAAAAGCTCAGGGACTGACAAATTGAAATTTTAACTCCAGTTTCACTTCAATCTTGTTATGCAATCTCAATTTATACATTTAACAGGATGTCTTAAATTAATACTTTGTCCCTAATGCCTTAAGAAAACCATTCCATAACTAGACTCAATCTATTTTCACTATACAACAATTTTCATTTCCTTTATCATCTCAGTATCTCTACCTTGCATTCCTTATTAGTTATCAGATTCCATCAACAATGATCAGAATCAAACACAGCATTTTAAAGAAATTTACTTTCTAGACTGAAACAATTTCACTTAATGCACCTATTCAAGACGAAAATACAACATCTATTGTACAGATGGGTTAACTGAGCAAGGAAAGTTGGCAATTTCACTACCTGTTAGACGGAGGTCTCCAAACTCCAAGAGATCCATTTGTTGAGATCTGACTGAAGATATGGCTCTGAGAAAAGTTGATCATCACACATCCTTCCACAAATACTGCTCCCAAATATCTTCTGATGCTCAAGAAGAAAGTACAATCCCTGTATTTTCTCTATAGCCCACATCAGTTGAAAACTCAGATTTGTTAACCCTCCCAAATTACATGAGGAAGTCTAAACATGTGGGCTATCACTGATACTTAGCACAGCATCAAAGCACAACAATCTCCCCTCTAAGGGAAACCACAGAATAAAAACAAACGTGGATAATGGGGAGAAAAAAAAAAGAGAAGAGAAAGCCCAAAATCGTGAACAACATTTGAAGAACTAACACGGATCTCTTCAGGTCTCTACTGTTGCTACATCATTTTCGAAAGGGGCCACCCAACACTATTTTAATAATATAATAAATATGACTTATTTTAAACGAGTGCATAGGTCGCGAGGATGAAAGATCTACTCCTCTCCATTTTCATCACGCTGAGTTTATTTTTTTTATTTTACAACTATCCTTGGTCTTTTCAATCTTACATTTTCCTCCATGCTGCTGTACAAAAAATGATAACAATAAAAAAAATGTTTTTTCTATACTTCTGTCACTTCCACACTTCTGTCTCTTCTACACTTCTGTCTTCTTGTAAACTTCTGCCTTTTCCAGCTTCTATCCCATCTCTTTTAAGGTTGAAAAGAAACTTCATAGCAGTCACGTCTAATGTTCCCATTCCATGTGGCATTCTAATAACCTCTTTGATTCTTTTCTCCAATCATTTCTGTGCCCCATCCCATTTTGCAGTGACTCCCTCCCCCCTCTTCATCTCCCCCCCATCAGCATATGCCTCCACCCTCTTTCAAGTTTGTTCTCAATGCTCCTATTTAACACAGTTCCCATTCTGAGGTCATTTAAAACATTATATTCAGAACCATCATTGTTACCAGACTACAACAATACTCTCACAAACCAAAAAGAGCTCCACTGGAAACACAGGATTCTTTTCTTGTTGACAATGAAATTTATTAAGCAAACTCATGTCTTCTCCAATTCTCATGTTTGTGCTTCAGAAACTTCATTTTCAATGGATAGCTATTAAAAATTTCACCTGAAATGACTTCAACCATTTGAAAAGTATACCTCCAGTATCATAAAATTATAAAATTTGAAAAAAATCTCCACCATTTCACAAAGAGTAACCTGCTTTGCAAGACACGAATCTTGCAATACAAAATGGGGACTTTTCCTGCAGAAATATATGTGCACAAAGAACCACAAAAGCTGTTTAAGTAACACTGAACAGATTTACTAAAATTCTATTTTTTAAAAAAGGAAAAGTGGAACATCAGACAAAGCTTTTTTCTTCCTTCTATAAACAAGATTACCATTCAGAGCTCACAATCTGGGAAAGGCCAGCACATGTAGGTTTTAGTCATCACTGAAGGAGAGAGGGCAGTAGAGCAGCAGAAACAGCATTCTCCTTTAGATACCAATGCATGCATTGGGAACTAGCTGAAGAGAAACTATGGGTTGATACTCTACCATTCAGAGTACCTGTAAAACAGTCAACACTTAGGCAAGCTCACAAGATAATTAACAATGGGGCCATAAATTCCACAGCCTAACACTTATTTCAACTTGGAATAATTGCAGGCAGTCCACCTACATTCTCCTGCCACTTTTAAATATCTACAATTTTTGAACAATTCTACAACATGGGCTTGAAGTTTCAGGCTATCTTGCCTGCCACATTTAAAACTAACCCAGAGGCGGTACTTAGTGGAATAGAAACGCTATGCTATAATTTACTTTAGGCATCAGTTAAGATGGTAAATACTCAGAATGTGTTGCATCAAACATAAGCACCTTCAATCTGTAGCTTCAAAGAAAATTTTGGTGAGCTGTAATAAAACTTCTACATTAAAAAAATAAATGGACAGGACAACATAATTTTATGTAAAATATAATTTAAAATGCTGATTTAAGTATTGTGGTATGAAAGTGAGCATTTATGGTGTGTTTGAACTTACTGTGTTCATGCAAATTTTACATGATCAATCTTCTAACTACTATTTTATGTTCAGAAATAGTGATCTTATATTTTCTCTAGCCAGATAGTCTTTAACTTTTGTATAAGCATTTTTATCTCCATTCCAGTCAGAGAAATACTTTGTTTTTATAGGCTGAAGGTTATACATTTGTAAATGATCACTTACGGCTTTTTCATGGCTTACTTTTTTCCTCTGATGATTCTCCAGTTTCGTAGAGTTTCAACATAAACATGACCAAAATAGTCCTTTTACACACTTTAATAAATGCTTCAATTTAGTTATTAGTCACCTTCATATCAATCACTATGAAAAAATTAATTTTCAATGAAAAGCCTCAAATTAATACACTATTGCACCAAAGCTGGCTTAGTATGAAAGTCTAAAAGTTCTTTTAACTATTTTATAAAAAGATACAGGAAAAATGACCTCCATTCATCAGGGGCTGGGGACTGAATCCAGTATTTGTAAACAGTGATATGATACACAAATGAAAGCAACTTTTGATATTTCTTTTTAATAGCAATGGAATATATGTGCAATGTTCCGCTTCCTTCATTCAACCAAAAAGTAACTTTTCCAATCACATCGTAACAGAAGAATTCACATGGAAGAATTTATAGAAATTCAGATTGATACCGAAGGAGCTATCTTGCATGAAACACTATACAAAACATAGGCTTATTGACTAGGTCTATACAACATAATTGTCAAAAAAAGTTTCAGACAGATTTATTCTAAACATCCCAAGCCAATTAAAATCTAATCCAAATCACTATCCAGATTAGCACACCATACCAACAAAGCCATGCCCGCAGCAGAAAGCAAAACACAAGCAGTTCCAGAGGTGTTCTATTATATCTAGCTTAAAGCTACATCAACAGATGTTGCACTACCCTTCTCAAAGTTGTTGACAAACAGACTCAATCTGCTGTCATAAAATGATACCATCAGCTAGGTTTCAGTGCACGCTTATGCTTGATTTTATTTTCCTCAACTTTCTGCTTTGAGTTTCAGACGCATTTAAGATGCTGCAAAAACAGTGCAGTTACAAATGATGTGCATTCGATCCAAGAGCTTGGAAAGATAGACATATCAGACAATCCGACGTTAAAAGATATTGCATAAATCAGACATACTTTGTGGTGAACTCAATTCCTATGTCATGCCAGTTAAAAGACTACTAAGTCCTTCTTTCAAACTGCAAGGATGAATTCTTAACAACCAAGAGCCCTAAAATAGCAGGAGCACACTTAGAAAAAGACTACAAATTCTATTTCCAAGATATTTTAATTAGTTCCCAAGTCCAAATAGCCTCTACAACATAGCAGATAGAAAGAATATTAGCTGGGAATACAAACTTCTAGATCACTAATACCAAAGATGAACCAAATGGTTGAACCATCCTTCGATTCAGTTTATTAAAGAGATGAAACATCTATGAAGTAAATCTCCCTAAAAGCTCACGCAGGGACAGCTCTCTGTCCCTGGTTTCAGGATCATCTCCACTAAATATCAGTACTTTCTCTTTGTTAACCATACATAAACAAAATTCCCAGTGTTCATGCAAAGAACCAATGATCAAGACTGCATGCAGCAGTCCACTCGGTGGTGGTTGGGTTGGAATGCAATCAAAATTACTCTCCTTGATGTATCAAGAAATGTTTTCAATGCATGTATTAAAATAATATACAAATAACCTCAAGTCCTGTTTAACTTTATGTCTCAGAGGATACTCCAATAATTTAGGTATGGAAAAAAGTCCTGTGTATGTGCCAGTCTTCTTACATGCTTTCTTTTCTGGAGGAAGTTGTGAATTTTGTTACCATTTTAAAGCTATTTAAACTTCTTAGATAATTGTTTGAAAAAAATGAAAGCAGAGCCAGAATTTCAACAGAACATTGTAATGTTCAACCTTTCTGCAGATTTGATATTTCCCAGACTGATAATCTAAATATTGAAATATGAACTCTACCTCTTAATCAGTGTTCACAGTACATTCTTTAGTATTTTGCTTACATCAAACAACTGCATTCATATGCTCCTAGCTCCACTGTTTTTAAAATGAAGAGTCCTACTGACACTGAAAGAGTGATTTCATTACCATAGGTGATTAGATGGAGAGCTTCTGTATATTTCCACTCCCCTAACGGGTACAGTAATAAGCTGTTAGTTCTTCAGGCAAATGGCATGAATCTGTTGGATTAAAGGCTTTATTCTTTGCCCGTAATCAGTAACTTGAGAGCCTTCTGTAGATTCTGTACAGCAGTGCTCACATCTTCATATTGCAAAGCACTGCCAGCATATTTGCAGTATTTTTGAGCTCTGGCAAAGTCCTCTGGAGTCAAACGGACTTCCCCTGCAAAAACATAATTACAACATTATTATGTTTTACTTACATTTGCAGTAATATTAAAAAAAGCAAGATGATACTTGTGGTAATACTACGAATATCACTTCTTTGCTGCTGGTATTTTAAGAAATCAGAGACCCTTTCAAAACATTGTTCTTTTATATAATCCAGTGCCTTTCAGAAGTAAGTCAATACCTTTGAGAAAGATTCGCTCTTTAGCTAAAGTAGCAAAAAAAGAACATTTTAACAATAAGATATCTGTAATCATATAAACACCTGCAAGAAACAAGGAAAGTGTTTTTTGTGCTACAATATAATTAGTTTGTGCCCTCCTTCAGAAACACCACAACCTTAGAAACTGTTCCCTCTACACTGGAATAGATTTTCAATTTGTGGAAACATTCTCACTGAGATGTTTTTGCACATATTATATTTTTGCTTTATCCGAGTAATGTTCATGTTACAATTTTAGGTAAGTTAACCAGAAACAGCATTGATCCCACTACATTTCCCAATTTTTTTTTTAATACTGGAAAAAAAAATTCTCATAACGAAGTATAGAACAATTAAGTGTTATTAGAATATTTCCTTGACATAATCACAACACATGTATTCAATGTTCTAAAAACAGTAGTAGGGACTTGGTATAAAATTGGTTATACAAAGGCCTAGTTCTCTAAGTGTAGATTTTTCACCTTAAGCAAGGACATGAATATACTTCAGTGCATTTTATAAAGTACAATCATAGTTAGCCAGATTTTTTCTTTCAAGATAAAACTCTGTACTGTGAGAACACTTACTGAAGTATCTGAGTTCTTATCAGGAAATATCTTTACTATTTGCTTTCTCCTTTCCCAATCTTACTATTTAAAGACAGCTTTTGAACAAATAAAAGGGAAAACCCGGGAATATTAAAAACTAGACTGGTTTGCTGCTTTTTAAAACAACCATATCCCAGTAAAAAGCAGGACGGTAAGTGCTTTCAAGATTAATTTTATCTTTTTAATTTATTTATTTTTAATGCACACTAGAAAATCACTTATTTTCCCTTCAATAAATAAATCTGACCACAAAATAACTACTGAGCACTGAGGCACATAACAACTCGGTGGGCTCATTTGCACTGCAGTGTATATTAGTTTACTGCCAAATAAGTGAAACCACATTAAAATCTCTTAAAATACACAAACATGGGAAAATACGCGTGAGGGAGGGCATAATTATGAGCAGCACACACTTCGGTTATTTCTAACTTAAATAAAGTCACAGAACTAAAAGCAGCTGGGGTCAATCTGTGACCACATTACTGAACATCTTTAAGAAATCTGAAAGACCAAGTTCCTCTCAAAGTAGCTTTATGCTGTGATGCCAAAAGAAACTAAAAAATCATTCTTTAAAACCAGGCCAAGGCATCAGTCCACTATTCAACTAATTTACTGGAAGGAAGCCTAAATTCACCAGTCTAATCTTATTTTTGCAGTATGAGCTCTACTAATGTTTTGCTGGCATAACGATTTATTTATTATGAAATCTAGTTCAAATGCTATTATGACATAACTTGAGGGAAAAAAATCAACTTCAATTTATAAACCGAACTTTACACAGTGTTGATCTTTTGACGTGTTCAGTGGCCTCAGCTCCTATTGGAGTCAGCACCTCACAATGGACAGGCAGAATAGAAAAACAGCTGCTTTCTAAAATTTTCAAAATAATGCAAAATTTAACTACAATATCTGTACTAAAATTGAAAGTATCACCTCAAAAGTAAATAACTTTGGTTCATACATTGTTTAATAGCTTTGCAGACAAGGAACAACACCCTGGGGGTCTCAGCGGCCATGAGGAACACATGCCAAAAACATGATCTTGCAGAGAAGGCTGGCTAATGGTATCTTTACCTGCACTAGGAGGAGCATTGTCAGCTGATCAAAGGAAATAATTATTTCCATCTACTTAATACTGGGGAGGCTACATCCGTGCCCAATTCTGGATTCCCCAGCACAAAGTGAGACATAGAGCTAATGGAGAATACAATGAAGGGTCATGAAGCTGATAATGAGACTGGAGCATCTTTCATATGAGGAAAAGCTGAGAGAGATGGGACTCTTCAACCCAGAGAAGAAAAGGGTCAGAGGGATCTTATCAGTACAGATAAATAAATGAAGAGCATCAGTAAGGAAGATGGAGTCTATAAGCTCTTCAGGTGGTGTTCAGTGACTAGAGCAGAGATGACAGGCACAAACTAAAAAACAAAGAGTTCCAATGTGCATATTAGGGAACACGTTTTTGACTGTGAGAGTGGCCAGGATTGCCACAGGTTGTCCAGAAAGATTGTGGAGTCTCCCTACTTGGGGATCTTTAAAAGCCACTTAGATATGGTCCCAAGCAACATGCTATAGGAGGCACTGCTTGAGCAGGGAGGTGGGACCAGATGGACCTAGAATTCCCTTCCAACCTCAACCAACCTGTGAGATGGGAAAAAGTATATTGCACTCATCCTGAAACTCACATCTGAAATCATTAGTAATCACACTTAATTCCGAACTGACAAATGGAATCCGTAACTAATGTTAAAAGCCATTATGTTTTAGTTTAAGAGAAACTCAAAGTAAAAACAAAAAGTCAATTTTACTAGATATGCTGAAAATTGTGTTGAGAAAGAAAGCACCTTCATATTAATGTATTTTATATGATGTATCTACATCTCCCTGATATCCTTTCCTATTCATATTTTCCTTTTCATGAAATTGTCCAAATACAAGGCAGCTGGTTAAAGAATATTTTAATAAAATCAGTGTAACTTGTAATATAAATACAGTGATGCCAAATATAATTAATTTTTATCAAAATCTGATGCTCTTTTTTTTTCCTATTAAAGCAGGTAAGACATTCAAGATAATTCCCCGAAGAATTTTTCTTAAGATCATGAAAATACATAAAATGTGTTTATTACTTCTACTCTGTGCATGGAAAAGCAAACATTATTATAAATGCAACCAGAATGGACAAATGGTTTCTCTATACTATGCCACCTGTGGAAGGAAGCATACACTAATGTAAGAACATCTTATAAAAACTCTGTGTAGTACAATTATGAATGAATTTAGTGTTAGCAAAATCTAGAGTTAACAAATTTTTAAAATGAATTAGACCAGAGAAATTCATGAGCATATATTACAAAGTTCTAAATAGCTCTGCATTTTGTTAGTAGACATAGTGTGCTATGCTTAACTGAATAAGCTTTGATATTTTCAAAAGCCAGTGTAAAACTCTAAAATCTGCTCTCACAGGACAGGGCTCTTATTGCAGGATTTGTGCTAACTAAAATCAAAGGAATACTCTAACTAAATTTTCTTTTGATAAATATTCCAGTTTTTTCCACATAAGCATTAATCAGATTGCTTCTCTCATGTTATGGGTTAGAAAGAAAATATGTAATTTATTTTAAAAATATACATTTGATCTTCCTACCACAGAGTCTTCCAGGAGTATGTGGAATATCCTGTTTGGCTACGTCTATACTAGTACATTAAACAGTGCCAGGGAATGTGTCTCAGAACTTGAACTTGATTTTGCACTGTTGAACTGCTGGAACAGATTGCGGTTTGGTTTTGGCCTATGACAACTAGCACTTTCCCAAACAGTTCCTGGGCAAGATTCATGGTTAGAGCATGCTAAAGACCATTCAATATTGGCAGCCTTGATTAACTACCTTGTTTAGAAGGTTTAAAAGTTTAATAGTATGGATGTGAGTTGTTCTGTGCCATCTGCTCTCAATGTCAAATATTTTCAGGCATGTTTAATTTATACAGATATTTATACAGCTATTTTGTCTAAATTGTGGAGCAAACTGTTGTATTCTACTAGCTGTATGGATCAGCTGGAGAGAAACAGTTATTTCCCTTTCTCTCCCTAAGGCAACTTCAGTTCCATAGGAACAGTGCTTATCAAGGTATAACCTCAATATGCAGCCAAGACAGCTATAATATATCTTGCAATTCAGCAACTGGAAAGGGTCCCCCCGTTTTGCAAGCCTGTTGTGAAATACTGGCATTTCCTAATCTACATACAGGAGAAGGAACAGGCTATAATAGAGCATAGTATTTTGGGTATAAAAGGGAATCCTTAGCAATAGGTGGAGAATGACAATGTTGTTCTTACTATTTGAAGGGAGGATGTTTTGGGAACATCAGGCATGTGTGGCAGGACGGAGACAAGCAAGTAACCATGCCTTCCATTGCTCTCAAAATGCTTAATTCTATGCATGCAAACAAAATTGTTACTATATAAAATCTATATACCTTCTCAAGCTCTTGCATACCTGAGACACTATTTTCTAAGCTTTCACAACCATATATTTGCATGGAAATGCAGGGTATGCATTTCCAAAACATTCTCTAACATCACATGCTGTTACAAGACCCAAACTTGTAGTGATACAACAAGACATGTACAGAGGAGGAATGAAGGCATGCAAATACTATACGAGATCAATTTACAGATTCATCACTATGCTTATCAAGGGTATCGATATCCTAATTACAGCTGAGCAGTTATTATAAATTATCAGAAGCACAGAGTATCTTAATTCACTCAATTCATTTTCATTTGTATTTATGTTTATTGAATCAAGTTATTACAGGCTAGAGGGAACAATGTACTGATACACTGTCCAGACACCAAATAACGTAACTTCTAATACTTAACAATGATTTAAAATTTAATTTAAAATTGACATTTTTGTCATTTAGAATTAAATATTCAAACCAATAAACAACTATGACCAGCATTTTCATAGTGGTTATCAAAAAAGCTTTTTAGAATAACTGTCTAGATTATCATGATCAGTTGATTATGTATGAAAGCTCTGCCACCAAACTTGCTTTTTAAGTAGCAGTTCTTATGGTAAATATTAAATAAAGCCTTTAGCTGTTTTCATTAAGTAGCGACCAAAACTCCCACCACAACCCCTAGAATTGCAAAGCCATCACCAAGATTAAATGGTTCAGTGACTGGTTAGAGGTTTTCAATAAAGTGAGCTAACTGTAACAAGAGACATTAATATGCCAGACAGAAACAATAAGATGTACCTTTCATTATTCAAGAGAACGCTAAAAGCAAATCTGAATATTTCAAAGATAATTATTGTCATTTTTCTTCTAAAGACATCTTTGACAAAAATAGCTCCTTATATTAGGTCTTCACATCCTTAAGCATTCTTATGACAAATGACTAAAGTCAAGTTAAACAATGAATTCCTACTGTTGCATTCCACTGATTAAAATGCTTTTTCAGTGAAGCTGCCATTTTTAAAGACAGAAGTAAAATTCAGACAATTAGGTTAGTAGTGACTCTACATCAAAGAGAAACAACATTTAAAGGATAAAAACCTTGATTCAATGGTAAATCAAAACAAGATCATAATGCTTCACTGTACTATTTTGTTTAATATAAAGTTTACTTATAATCAACATGCACTGCTGGTACAGAACACAGCAAGTACACTGCAATAAAAACCACCACTGGAATGTTTTTCTTGATTATTCATTGAAATGAACAAATAATTTACAAATTAACCCTGAAGAAGTAATTGTAAGGAAAGAGAATGTGTACTAATTACCAAAAATAGAATTTAGAAAGGTTATCGGGAATACAGACTTTGTTGAGTGCAGCAAACTTTATCTCAGAAACAACAATGGAGAAAGCTAACACAATGCCAGCTTATTGGCTTGAAAAGTAAAAAAAAAATAAAAAAAACAAAAAAAAATCAGATAACACTATCAGAATATTTAGATGATGTCCATTCTTTTTAACATTTATGAACTGTAAGCATTCTGGTAACTTTATTTCTGGTGACTTTATTTCTCAAAATTCTTTTAAGTGTTGCAAATTAAACTATTAGGAAGCTGGAGGAGGCAGAGAGAGGCACACTCACGCACAGGCAATACAAATGCCACCATCTTACCTGCAGACTGAGCACTGTAAAGGGAAGGATCTACTAGAGGAATATTTTGAGGAGAAGGTTGAATGGTATTAGTCGTCACTCCTGTAAATTAATGCAGACAATTGGAACAGGGTTATTTCTATTTGTAGACTTTAGTAGTACACCAAAAAGTATGAAAATGAGAACAGGTAAACTTAATGATTCAATGATTTTTAACTTAAGCAGTAGATGGCTCCTAAAGTCTTAAAGTCTGTAGCTAATAATCTTAAAACATTGTTGACCAGGAATGTTTTATAAAACAGCATGAAGAATTTACAGGCTCTCACTCATGTTATCAGTACAGTATTTCACAGGAATTTAACTTTCAAGTGTTAAACAAATTAAGAAAATATTAGTCCAAAAATATATGGTTTTCCCTAGTGTACTGAGAAAAATCTGTTAAGGAACAGTATGACTGAACTCTTGTAACTGGAAGTTTATATGCCACCTCTTAATACTACAGAGAAGCTATTTTTAAAGCCTCATGTCTGCCATCTTGTACTTAGCAGCAAGCTAAGTCCTCCCTAATTCCTTTGGAAACAATTGGTGAGAATACAGAAGCTAGATTTGAAAGGGAAACATTGGTGCTAGAAGAAATAACACAGTGAGGTTAAAAATAAGTAATGCAAAAAAATATATGTGTTTCAACAGGAAACATATTCCATAGTTTTCAGATCTGGCAAAAAACAAACAGTAAAACATTTACTTAGACAGAATACAGCAAACAACACGCCTCCAGATTTCCCCCCTTCCCCCTCCCTACTCCCCCCCCCCCAAAAAAAAAACACAATAAACAACTATCTGAAGGATTTCCCTTTGATAAAGCTGAAATAAAGAGCATCCTGAACTTTTAATAGGGTGAAACATTCTTAAAATTACATTCTTTAAATAAGGAGAGGAGATGTGTGAGAAATCCATCTTGTTCTTTTAATACAAAAATACATCTCAACAATCAAATGATCATCAAGATTGAAACTAAGAGCTTCTCACTTGCTAATCTTATTATTATTATATGGCAATGGGAGGTGGAAAAATTGTACGTTCACAAGTATCTAAAAATAAAATCTTTTTTTTTTTTCTTTTTAATGCAGCTACTGGAAACAACTTTGGCTTTTAAAGAACATGTTTTGGGGCCAAAATTGATAGAAAACAAGATGGAGGTGTCAATACATCTATCAGTATATTTCCTATGGCATTTTTACAGTATTACTGTATGAGGTTGCTTTTGACATAAAACATCTACATTATTTTATTTTATATATGATGGAAAGAAGGCTATGATGGAGTTTGCCTCTTAATAAAGGCATAAATTCTTTGCATGTGATTGTCATATACCTGTGTTATGAGGTACTTCAGCTGGAGTATTGGCTGGTGCATGGGCACCTGGTGGAACATGTATGCCAGTGAAATTACTAGTTGGTGTGTTGTTAGCTTCATACGTAGATGATGATGATGTTGGTTGATTTATTCCACTCTGGTGAGAAGATGACCCTGCCTCTTCTCTTTCAAGATCTGTCAAGATGACATAAAACAGAAATGAATCCAACTCTTTTGTCTAAACACTTGAAAACTTACATGCCTTTAATAAACATTCCTAGTTAGCAGAAAAATGGAACCACCACAATGCAATATAGAACATTCAATAAACAAAATCACTTATTTTTGATTTGGCAAAGTTAAAAGGAAATCTGTTTTTGAGAATGAGGGAGCAGGAAAAAACATGCTTTCACTGTACACAGTATCACAACTAAAATAAATTACCCCAAATTTCTTGTCCAGACTTTAAAACTCTTTTTTCTGACCCCTACGGCCCTCATCTGTCTCTTCAGTTCCATTTTTCTCTCAGGACTTCTTCTTCCACATCTGCAATCCCTTGCCCCACACTTGCCTATGTCTTAAACTACCTTGTGATCTTTTCACCAAAGCATTCTGAGTATCATCTTCAAAGTTCCTCAGTAGCTAGTTCACAGTTTTTAGTTACTCCTGCAAAAGCACAATGGTACCCAACTCTAGTTAATTTTCACTGCCTCCTAATTTCCTCATCAAGGATTGCCTCATTTCAATGCTACTTTTTTTTCCTCTTCTCCTTCCTGGTTGTCTCTTCCGGCCCACCCTCCATGTCTGGACTTGTGTATCCTCTGTTTGTGAGTCTGGAAGCTTTTTCCTAACCCAGGCCAGTCTAGAGACTTGTAAATGCCAGCTTCCTATCCACACTGGATCTGAAATACAACTTCAGGAAAGTTCTCTCTGCCTTAGGATTCCCCATGTACGTGGAACCTTTGGAGAATTCTGCTGTAAAAGTCTAGCAAGCCTAAGTACGTGTAAACTGCAATTTCATAAAAGCTCAGAACTTGGGCCAAACACAGGCAGATTTTCTTAGAGACAGGAAAAGCCCATCCCTGAGAAATGGGAAAGAAAAAACATCCAATCTCTTGCCAACTTCTTTCTCCAAGTTTCAAGTCCTCACAGAGACTATCCATCTCATTCTCTCTGATCTCTTTTCAGAAACAATAATAGTGACTGAAATTAATAAAATGAAAAATAAAACTGAAAAAAAAATGAACAACCATAGGCAATATTGGCCATGGAAGATAGGAACTCAATTGGTTGAAGTCTGGCAATGTTAGAAAAGTAAAAAAATAAAAATGTTGAAAGTGTTTGCTATCCTTAATACCAATGCCTGTAAGAGGTAAATTCACAAGAGGGCAATATACTTTTATTCAGGCATATGCATGAAGATCAAGCTCAAACGTTTGCTCATTGTGCAATTATTAAATGTTGAACAGTATTAAAAGTAGCTTTGTTTAAATTAATGCTTGTTAGGTATTTAAAGTGCCCAAATGTCACAGTGTAGTAAGTATTCTTTCTGTAAAGTAAATATTTAAAATATTATTAATCAAAGATTAAATATTAAGACCATGTTGACTTATGTCCTTGCAGTATTCCTTAACAGTTTTAATAGTAGTGGTAAATAAAAGGTTTTCAGGCTGGTGGAAAAGAATTTTTTAATTCAACAATTGCTCATAAGTTCTGTGATAAGAATATCCATACAATTATTGAGAAATATGCACATTTCCAGAGAATGCATGCTAAAAAATTAGGGAATTAACATCTCAAAAAGCAGTACTGGCCTGTAAAAGAGTGACACAATTGCTTTGCATTCATTTTCAGCTCCAGTCAAGTCTCTTGTCTTGGACCCTCATCAGACTTTGTGCTTGGATCCTAGTATAATGGATCCATGGGATCTTCAGATTTTCCTCAGAGCCACGGTACACTCACACTATCTTTCTGCTGTTTGATAAATTATTAAAGCTAAGACTTTCTGGAATAAGACTGATATCCCTGGTTCTAAAACAAAATGTCCAAAGATAATTCTACAAGCATAAAAGATTCTCTAGGTATTCGCTGTTAACCATACAGATTAAATCTATTAAATTTCTGGTAAATTTCATTGCCTCAAACTGCTAGCAATTTTGAGATAAAACCTAATTCACAGAAATAAGCAGAAGGTAGGCATGCAGAAGTGGAACAAACCTCAAAAAGTTAACTTTTATGCTTTGATATGAACTGTGCCAGAAGCTGAGATGTTTAACACGCTCAGAAAATCTTCAGTGAAAGCATTCCATTCTCCACTATTTTAAAAACAAAATCTAACCTGAATTACGTTTCTATTATTTCATTATACAAACACACACTGAATTTGGACAAATACATTTGGAGATTTAAAATTAACCTCAGCAAAATATTACTATCAGACTATTTGTCTTAATAGACTGTTTTTTTAATTGTTACATATTTTTTTTTTTTTAATCCACATTGCAAAATACAGAGACAGCAAAATTCAATAATTGATCAGATTGGTAATTAAAATCAGAGACATCTGTATTTTGAAACAAGGAGTTTAGAGGCTGACAGGAAAGATAAATAACTAATCCACAGCATCAGTACATAGAGACGCATGCTTTATGTGAGAAGACTGTATGTTGAGTGCAAATGTTTCCCCCATTTTGTCTTGATTGGAATGTCTTATTTATATTACAAACTATTATGCCTTATAGTATACAGACTTTGTCCAGAGTAATGAAGCACTAAAAGTAACTTAAATTCAACATCCCAGAGCACTAAATTGAAAACTAACAAAATTTACTTGTAAAGAGTCCAGAGATTTATAAACGTACATTTTTTGCCATCATCTACTAATTTTATTTTGAAAACATTTTATTTTCCTCATTGTCCTGTAATGTCCTCTCCAGCTTGAAGGTTGCTAAAAGATGTAGAATGTGAGGTTCTTTTTGGAACACCACTTCTCTGTCTCCCCTTTTTCTTTTTTTCCCTATCGTGTTGAGAAAAAAAACCAAAATCCTTTTACAGCTCACATACTTTTCTTTCAACTAGTTGGGACATAAAGGTTTCCTGGAACTCTGCAATATAAATGTAAAATGTTATATATTGCAATGAAATTGGTTCAATATTGCAATGAAATTGGACAATACATTTTACTGTAACTATACTGAGACTACTCAAGAAGTCTGTCCCATTAGAAATTAAAATTTCAATTTTCCCATTAGGATAATCTCCTTTTTGATGACCTGGGGCTACTGCTACATGACCTTTATATGTACTCTACAACTTGTATTCCAAATGCATTAATAACTCATGCATGTCATTTTAAAGTTTCCATTGTGGCAATCTGACAAAACATCCATAAATCCAGCAGAACCATACAAAGCATGCCTATGTTACTGTAAAAACATCTCCTAGAGTTACAGTATAGTTTTCAAGAATCACAAAGAAAATAACACTTTGGAAAAAAATGGTAATTTGTCAAGCTATAGAGACCTACTTTCACTCTGTTTAAACATGCTTTTTCCACTAGCAAAGGAAGGAAGAGAATGAGCAAGCAGAAAGGAATGGGGAAGGTCCAGTTGTACACTCAAACAATGTTTCTTTTCTTCTAATGATGCACAAAGTAAGAACTGACACTTTGTTTTTTATGCATCTTTAATAAAAAAATAATTAGCAAAAATTTTTCTTAAATCTTTGTTGTGGAAAGCATTATGGCCAACTACACTATAGAGGTAAATTCAAAAAATGAACAGTAAGAGGTATTTTCATTTACCTGCCCAGAAGATAAAAAATTATCTTACTATATGAAGTATAGCTTAACAAATAGAAAGACTTTGCTGAATTGGATATATTGTAGACTTCCTATGAACACTTTTGTAAATTTTAGCTCGTTCAGCTAAAATTTAGCTTCTTCGTCTCCATGTTATGAAAGCAACAATCTTCACCTTTTCACTTTCAATGATCTGCAATATGGACTAAGGTTACAAATCTGAATTCTGTTTTCCCTCCAATAATACTTTATTCTGCAGTCCTGAATAAGTCAGCTACTTTGGCCTGTACATTAAGAAAATGACAAAAAATACCGTCTACTGCTGCTGAGAACCAGTTATCGTATACAAGTTGCATAAATAATTTTTTTTTAGCCAAAGAGATGTAGTCTTTGCTTATAAATATATTTTTCACAATTAGAAATCATTGTATATAATCTGGTGAGCTTTGTAAACATTCCTATAGCTATGAACTTAATCACTAAAAATCACTCATTTAAAGCTTTAGCATCCACTATCAAAGACTTTTTGTCATATCTTCTCCACCGTATTCTAAAGAAATTGGTGTAATCTGTCTTACAAAGATGTGGTGATGTTTGCACATGTAGTTGCGTCATAGGTCTTGCACTGCAGCTGCAACACCAGTTAAAAACAAACAAAAAACTGCCTTGAAAAAGATCACACGTTGAAGAAAGACTAAGTTTGATAATGCTTGATTTGAAATATAGCTATGACAAGACTGAAACATAAGACATTGCATAAGATCTCCATTCCAGTGACCAAATATGAAGGGTATCTTTAAGTAAGGAAAAAATGATAACCAGTAGCTTGGTAGTCAAACTGCAACATACTCTATTTGATCACAAAATATGAACTTGCATCAGCCAAAGCACCATGTAGCCAGTTCACTACCAAGTCAGATTTATCTCCTCTACAGAGGAAAGAGCCCTCAGCTTTTAAGAAGAAAAAATGGAAATACATACCAAAAGTCTCTCCTTCCATTCCAATAGGTCCAGGCTGAGGAGTCTCTCCATTTTTCAAGCAGTTATGAATGTATGCTGCTTTCCACCTGGCATACTTTCTGTGCTGAACATTCTGGGAAAGGTAAATGGCCAGTTATTTTAATCACTCACTTCTTTGACTTAATGTATTCAAGGAAGTATCATAACAGGTTGGTACAATGGAATATATTTTTTCTATTGCTTCTCCTTCCATTTCTGCAATAATTTTGAATCTAGGATATTCCATCCACCTGTGCATATTGAAAAAAATTGCAATTTTTTAAAACCTGTATTTTTCATCCAGACAAGAGATTATTAAAATGCTGGCACGTGAAGCTCATTTAAGGATAATGCATGAGAAATTAATATGTGAATTAAAACATATATAAAAAGAACAGCTCTAGTAGGATCTCAGAATGAAATGAAAATGCAGAGATCTTCAATTAGTACAGTATATCAGAACAAGGAAATCAATAATACAAACATCATCTAGCGTGGAAGTCAGTGCACTGCATAGTTATTACTGATACATTTTTTTTACATATATCTCCATAAACTTTATTATTTTAATCTGAAGTAAATAATCATCTGAAACAGAGTGCAAATTCCAATCACAGCGTTGAATTTTTTAAAATTACATTATTTTAAATTACAAGTAGGTATTTGAAACCATTAAAACAGAAAGGTTGGTGTAGCTGTGGACTAATATGGTATGTACAGGATATTCTAGATATAAAATATTTTAATATAATATCTTTATAACACTACTTAAACCAGATGAAAGACATCAGCAAGAAATAATAGGCTGTTCATTGCAAGGCTGAATGTGAGGCATCTTTATATAGGATGTCTAGTCTCTTTATTCCAAACAGGACATTAAATAGTTTGGGACCAACATAACCAGATCTTGTCACGGGCTTAGAAAGCTAAAGAACTTTTGTTTGTAAGGAAATTCTACTAGCGGAAGAAGAGAATCCTATAGCACTCATGCATACAAGAAATAAAAATACTTTTTGATTAGCTATGCAGATTTAGTTGGCCTGACAAATATTAAGCACTTATGTGATCAGCACTTGCTGATTCTATTGCAAACTGTGCAGTATCACTGTTTTTCCTTATTTATTTTTCAAGGTTTTATCCTTCCTTTGGCAGTTTTTGAAAATTGTCTCCACCAGTCACAGAATTGAATCACAGAATTGTAGGGGTTGGAAGGACCTCCAGAGATCATCGTGTCCAACCCCCAAGTCCCCAGTCAGCAGTAACTTTCCCTATTTTTTTCTCTTTGACAGAAGTTATCAACAATACCCCTACATTTCCAAAGTGAGTTTCTTATTCAATTAATTTAGCAAACAACACTTCCATTTTAATTCTCAGAACAAGGAATACTTTATTAAGAATATCTGCTCCACCATATCCAATATTAATTCTCCTGTGGAACACAAACAACAGAGAGCTGACGAGACAACTAACTGAAAAGTTTGCTTTAAAACTTTTATTAAGTACGTTTTAATAAGAGGAATTGCAATCTTGTTCATCAGTTCTGGAAAACTTCTTTGACTGCACATGTTTTGCTAAAGAATGCTAAAACAAATCTATGCTTCTTTGTTAGAGAGTAATTTTTAAATATTCATGTCCAAATGGTCAGGCATCAATCCTTTTTTTTTTTTAAAGTAAATTCATGCCCTTCCAACTTAACATACCACCTTTTAATAGTAAAATTTATTATAACACCAAAAATATCTATTTTAGCTAAAATTGTATATAATTCCAACTCAGTAATTAGCATTAGAGATCTTGCTTGTAGGATGAAAAGGGGAAGGTGGAACAGGTAGGAACCTTGCAACATTTCTCCCTATAATCATTCTCATTTGACATAATCCTGTATTCATGAGGCATTACTGATATTATTAGTATATTTTTAAGACATGAAGCATCTTCTAAAAGACAACTGTTATCTAACATTTCATATAATTTGAAATGCTTACTTCAATTTCTTATGATTTAGTAACATGAATTTGATTACAGAATTACAATGTATGTTCTCTGAAGCTCATATTCATGAACTATTTTCAAAAAATTGCAGAATTATAACAGTAACTTGAAACTGTGCTAGGAAAAGCAATCAACTTACACCAAAATCCCTAATACTTACCTCTTCAGAGAGCTCCCCAAATACTGTCAGAACATCTATCAGGAGACTGGCAGTGTAAAAGGACTTTATCATGTTTCTGTAAAAAAGAAAGCATTTCATTACCTCGGTAATATCATCTTCTTAGGATTACTTTTTGTCAACTGGCATTTTAGATTGGCTAGTTTCAAATAGATTGTCACTAATATTTTCTTTTAATCTGATGCCACAAGATTTACTTCATGATGTCTATATTTAGGAATACACTGAGAAGTCTCATGATCACTATGAAGAATTCTTCAGCAATTTTTAAGGCAGGTCATAAGTTCTGCACTTAGTTTCTAATTTGGAATGTTCAATATAGGACATTGGACATCCTGTACTACCTAGGAAAAAGTCCAGCCAAATCATCAGCGTGCTGTAGTGACCACTATAACTCAAACAACACACATCATCACAAACATTTCAATATACAATTTCCATATATTTAACTAAGTTCAGTATCAGTTTACGTTCAGTATTATGTTTTAGAAGGTTCACCAGTATGTGAGCAAACCACTTCAATAACACAAGATGAAGGATACCAGTTAAATGGTCAAGTTAGATACCAAAATAGTAACAAACGGATTTTTCTGAGAGATGAATGCCCAATTCCTGCTTGCAGTCAAATTAACAAGAGCTTGGATAGATCTTAATTCTTACAACAGAGCAAAGATTTTCACCTACTTATGAAACTGCCCAGCTCTGTCTTCATTGTCTGCATATAAAAACATTTTCAAAGCATAATTCTCCACATGAGCAGAACCAACAATTTCCTGAGTAATTGCTTCATTATCACCAAATTGTTTTTTCATCTGAAAAAAAAAAGGTTGAAAAAAATACATTCATTACATTATTAGACCCTAGCACTTTAATCTAAGTCAAATATAAGAAGCAGCTGCTGATTTAGTACAACTGAAAAGAGAAACCATAAACACTAACTATTTTTAAGATCTCCAACTTCTAACATAACAAATGCTAAAGCACCATGCCAAAGAGCAAGTACGTTGTTTTAGAGAGAAAAATATTAAGTAACTCTTCATACTATCTTCTAGTCCTTTAAAAGAAAAATTGAATCTTAAAACAAACACAATGATATGTAACCATAACATTCTGAAGGAATAGCTACGGATATTTTTCCCCTTACTATCCAAAAGACCAAGTGTTCTGAAGCATGTATCACAATTAAGCACAGTTCAAATTATAAAGTACGGTTTGTAAAGGTACTGAAGGGCAGAGTCATTAAATATCATCTCTTTTGCAAAGTATTCCACAGCAGTACATTATATCTTTCACCAAGTCCAAGCCCCACCTTAACTGATCTAGTGACCTATGGATTTACTGGAATTTTCAGTCTAAGCAGCGTACTTCATTTGAAAGACCTCTTTTCAAATACGCTGGACTACAAGAATCCCCACGCTTCCTAATAAAAATCAGCAAAGCAAATAACCCACTAACAGTTACAACAGGTGGATTTACAGCTTCTGAATAGGCTTACTGTTTGAATATAAGGAAATCTCAGGTCATCCTCAGAGGACAAAAACAGGAACACTGCATGATATTAACCGGTAATCTTTATTTTGCCAAGATTTAAAAACAGTATCTGAATGGCTGTTATTTTTCAGAGTGAGCATGAGGAACATTCAATCATGCAAGCTGTATTTCCATAATATTATTCTCTTGTCAACTTTTTAATACATAGAACGTTTTAAAAAAATATGTCAGTAGTGAAAAAATAAACTTTGTAAGGGGTATTTCAAATCTGTTGACTTTTGTCAAACTCATACTCAATATACTTTTCAGTAATTATTCACTTTACAAATTATAGTGCACAGAAGAAAAACAAAATTACACTTCATAAGTTGCAGGATATATATATATTTGAAACAAAATATTTAATATTTAATTACACAGATTTAGAATAGTATGAAATTTTTTGTAAATAAAAACATTGAGTAATTTCCACATGTATCTACATCATTTTATTCTCTGCTACTATATAATTCAGGATCATTTGCAGTTGTAAGTTTCTGTCTTAATCCATAAAATAATCAATGACAACAAGCCACAGAAAGCTGCAAGAACCATTAGAGCAGATCTGCAACACCCCTTTGTGCCCCCTGCTGGTACAGGCAGACTGAAACTGGTTGCTATTAAATTACTGTAGAAGTACTACTGACATATTAACTTGTCAATATGCTCATGCTTCCCAGCTCTCAAAATGCTTCATTTTACCTGCTCCAAAGCATTCTGTCCTGTTTTCCATCACCTGGCTACATGAAAGGAACTGATGTCTTAGCACCAGCTGTCACAATTTTATCAGTAATTCAGGGATTAAATTATAGGTTTTTCTAATCTTTCATAATTTGAACAGGAGTAACCAAATACTGAAGGCAGATTTGTTTGCTGCAGTATCAAAAGGGATAATATAAGCCTTCAACAGGAAGTTAAATTTATGCTCATGCATGCTTACACATGCACATATATACAAACATACATATATATACACATACACGCACAGTTTTATCTCCTCCTTTATTATTACACACAACCCACATTCTTACAGTACGTCCTCACACAGAACAGTTGCACCAATGAATGCTGACAGAGAAAAGACAGCATTTGGAGAAGCCTCATTAGTCATTAAAATACCATGAATATTAAAATATCATGAACAATTTCAGAGAACAACAATAGATTCTACTTACAGCTTCCAACTGATCCATAAGTTTAGATAAAAATTTGCGGCATTCTGGGGTTTTACTATCAATCTTCATCCCTGTTTGCATTGCATACAAACGACCTTAAAGTAGACAAAACACAGAAGAAAAAAATCAAGAGTGCGTGAGTAGCTAAGGCAAAACCCACAGCTCAGTAAACAAACTGCATTCCCCATCATATCCGAAAGACAGATTCAACAATGAAGCAATACACGAGTACAGTGAAGCTAAGCACTGACAGGTAGATATAGTCAAACTTCCAGAGATACGTAGGTTGCTTCAAAAGTATTTGTCTTAGTTTCAGCTGGGATGGAATTGTTTTCTTTGGAGATAACACGCTGATGTTATAGTTGCTGCTGAGCCAAGGCCTTTTGCAGTGAAGGGCCTATGGAGCTGGAACGGAAAAGAATTAGGGCAGCTGAATTAAACTGGACAAAGGGATATTCCATACCATATGACATCATGTGGAAGGAGTTCTGAAGCAGGTAGGGGCTCATCTCACTCTCTTTTGCTGCTTGGGAGGCTAGGTGGGCATCAGTCAGGGATGGTGAGCAATTGCTTGTGCATCACTTGTTAAACGCATTTCATATGTACATGTATATACACATACACACACACAGTCAATTATTTTTCTTTTCCTTTTCTCTATCTTAGTAAATAGTTTTATCTCAACCCAAGGGTTTTGCTTTGTTTTTCTGATTCTCTTCCCTATCCCACTGGGAAGGGGGGAATGTGTTGACTGTATGGTGCTCAGCCACCTGCCTGGTTAAACCACAACAGCATTCCTCCTATTTATTTTCATGGAAACTACAGAGACAAAGAGCACAATAACACTGATAGAGCCAATCCTCAGCTACAAAACTATTTTTCAACATATTCACCACCATTAGCCATGCATCTTCTACCAGCGATGAACAAGAACCTGCATGTCATGCTGCACCAGTGGAAGTGATCCACTGTAGCCACCGCTGAAACACATCACCCACTCCCTCACTGTGCTCACATCCACAATTTGGTTCCTCCAGAAACATTCAGCAAGTGTTGATGAATGTCAATAGGTGTCATTTTTTCTCCATTGAGGAATTCAGTGACACACCTTTGCTTCACAAGCATCTCCACAACAGATGTCATTTTCAGGCTGCCCCTCTGCTGCCATCTGATGCACAGCAACAGTATAGTCAAGAAGGTTCAACTTCTACTGCCATACCACCAACATCCATCTCCATTGCATAGGTCAACATAATAAAATAGGAAGCATTGCTTTTGAAGCAGCTCTCACATCAGGAAATACTATTTCTGAACATATTCCTACAATGAGAATTCCTGCTGATTTCAAATGGATGTCTGTATCACCATGATGCAATACTACCTGCTCTACTAAATAAACATTATCCTCCTATGCAACTCTTTAAAATATAAGCTTCGAGTCAATTGAACACAAATGGCTTTCATACAACTCTCATGTGTGTATATACACACACACACACATACACACACACACACACAGTGTAAAGACATGCCTCAAAAAAGGAACTTAATGTAGAAGGAACTAATCAGCTTTCTAAGCAAACCTGATGTTTAAATCAGACAAAACAGCCTTTACAGACCTTTCCCTATGTGTAAAGTTTCCAGGCTTTCCTATGACTTTAAGAATGAATGATTACCATTCTCTAATTAAAACAAATGAACAGAATTACCAAAAGCTATGAATATAATGTAAGCACACAGCAGAACTTTATATGCTTTGGAAAATAGCAGATAAAGCCAAATAAGCATTATTTACTAGAATTAAAATACACAGACAAGGATAACATACAGGTCATTCAGTAACCAAGCGGAGAACATTCTTCCACAAAACCACTCTAATTTAACTCTCATGCTTAATGGTCAAGGAAGTCCTGCAAACTACTTTCAAAAGCAGATCCTAATGGCACATCCTAATGCCTCTACCCTTCAAAGGATTTGTGCTAGGGAACATTAACTGCCTCACAGCTTTATCACCTCTTAACTTTCAAGCAGCTCATCATACAGACATAAAAAGAAATAGAAAGAGCCTATCTTCTTCCTCCCAGGAAATATACGTATAAAACCATCTGCACCTAACCTGATGCTTCCTGTGAAACAAAACACTATATCCTCAAAAGTTTGCCTGCATTTTCTGTCCATTATTAGCTTGTCAAATAACATAAGATCTCTATATATCTCTATCTACGTCCTGCTTGTAAGCATCTCAATTTAATTCTTTTTTCTATATTTTAACAGTAGTATTTCATGCTTCATATACAACACTCAAGCCAAATACATTCCTTATATAGGACAGTAAAGCTGAAGAACTTTTGAACATTAAAGCTGTTGGGTTGTCCAATCATTTAAAGACATAACAACAACAACAACAACAAAAACACAAAAAAACAACAACCCAAATCAAAACCAAAGGACTTGTGCTCTCTAATGCCCACTCTTATGTTAATAATTGGTGAAACAAGAGAGTACCTTTCTACTCAAGTTTTCCATAAAGAATAACCATTTAAAATTCTACTCCAAGTCAAAATTCAGGAACAAATTAAGGCCATGAAGAACTGAAAGAACTCATCTTGACCAATGAAAGTTTTTGCTGTGTAGTTATTATACAATGCTAATATTAAATTAACTACTGATATGTAGCTATTTATCTTCAGGATGTCATGTTAATATTTACATTATGCAGTTGATATGTGTAAATTTGAAATTATATTCTAAAGAAATCAAAACACAGAAAGACAGCTTGATAAAACAAACAAAAGATTGTCCTTTGCTACTCTGCCTTTGGGAGGCCCTAGAGTACTGCATCCAGGCCCCAGAACAAGACAGATACAGAACTGGAGTGGGTCCAGAAGAGAGCCATGAGGATGACCACAGGGCTGGAGCACCTCTTCTATGAAGAAAGAACGAAAGAGCCAGGCTTGTTAAGCCTGGAGAACAGAAGGCTCTGGGGAGATCTCACTGTAGCCTTCCATTACTTGGAAGGTGCTTATAAGCAGGAGGAAGACTGTTTTTTTGCATAGTCTGACAGTGATAGGACAAGAGGCTTTTAAACCAGAAGGGAGCTTGGTAACTTCTGATACTAAATTTCATCAGTTAGAAGCCAATGTGCTGAAAAGTCTGATATAAAAAGATAATTAAAACAATGCTTTGTGGCCGCAAAAAATTTTCAAGATTTTAAAGCCTAAATAAAGCATTCAGAAAATGCAGCCACTCTTGAAAATAAGTGAACTGTAACTGTAATCTGTATTCAGCTCTATATCTATAAAATCTCTATATCATCTTTGTGATGAAGGCTTAGAACACCAGAGAACAAACACACAAATACAATTACTAGGGCTTTTATAGATCAGTGCATAGAACAGCTTTTAAGTGCATAATCTGCATTTACAACCCACATTTTTTGTTTCCTTTATCCAAACCAAGCAGCAAAAAAGATCTTCAGGTGGCCAACAAAAGGAGCAGATGCATAAATAAAGGGACAAAAGAGGCAAAGACAACAACATTCTGCTTATATCTAAATGTTAATATTTTAAGCAGAGCTAAAGTCACTTGCAATTTTTGACACACAAAGACAGAACTGTTTCACCAATCATTAACTAAAGAGGGTTTGCACTCAGTTTGCAGACAGGACATTTATCTTCAAATTCATAAAGACTTGGCAAGCAGTCATTCTCAGAAAAATGTTTTGCCAAGGCAACTACAAAATTTATGTCTTGATTTGTTGCCCTTAATCTTTGTTCTGTAAATACTAAGTGTGGGTGTGCTGGAAGGAATTATACAGCAAGCTTTACAAAAACCTCTCTGCTTTTATTTGTCACGAAATACCATGTTATTTTTCCTTTGCTAATGCACAGCACAATTTTAGAGAGAGTATTTTGTCTTCAGTATGTGCTAGCCATTCATTCCTAACACACATTAAGTTATTTCAGATTTATATTTGGGTAACAACTGAAACTCCTCCCACTCCCACTTTAAACTAGCCATGCCAACTAAAAATACTGGAGAACAACACATTGATTCCATATACTCATTTCTGTCCTATTATCTAGCTTTTACCTGGTCTACCAGAATTTAAAGATTATTGTTCTTTTCCCCCCATCTGATTATCTTCTAATACTGAAAAAGAAGTTTATGTCGGGAATACTCTTAATATTCTTTCCACTCACTTATCATACAATTATAGTAAATATTAACAAAATCATTTCTATTAAGTTTTCTTCATTTTTGAATTCCAATTAAGAGATGAAGGCATTTTTACTCTGCAATATATATTATTCATCCATATTCTACACCTTTCTCTTCATGCCATCAAACCACTGACAAAAGAAAAAAGTTTGTTAACCGGCACAGAAAAGCAACAGCCTCAATAGAAACGTGGGCAGCAGGGGACATAAAAACCATGAACTTGGATTGTACTCAAAGAATTTTCATAAAGAATGCATCAAATGTAGAAAATGAATTACTCTTGCTTTCATGAACATACCACTTTCTGCATGAAGATTATGAATAAATGCTGTTTCTCCATGGCCAACTCAAAGTTTTTGAAGTAAGAGACATTAAAATAGATTCAAGAGCATTGACAAAGTTTGAAAAGTTTTACACATCCTCTCCATTATATGATACTGAAGGAAATTGGCAAAAGTGAAAGCAAGTATTAGGCTGTTAGCATCAACTCAAAATCTGAAACTTTCCAGAGAATACAAATTAGTTACTTATTTTCAAGTGAAATTAGTTGAAGGAGAAATCTAGCAAAGGAAGAGAAGTGTGGGCCACAGGGAAAGAGGCAACAGCACAAAATTTCACTAAGAAAGTCTTTGTATAGCTTTTGCTCTCAGTACTTTCTTCTCTCTTTATTCTAATTAATATAATGAAATTAAAATAGAAAAACTACCTCGACTATAGAATCTGTAGTAATTGAGATCTCAAGAGGGCAAAAGTAGAAGGCAGACACTTTGGACCAGTTGTGCTCAAGTCATACGGATAAAACAGCTTTTAGTGATTAGATCACAATTTGAAGCACTTCTGCAGAATGCCTTCCAGTTTTATTAAAACCAGAAGAAATCTATTTTACGCACACAAACTACTCTGTGAAGTGAACCAAAGCACTCTAAAGGGGTATGACTGTGAATTACGTTTCCAAAATGCACTTGTGCTTCCTGACCTTACCTGCCTACAGCATCCTGTGCTGCGCTAGAAGCACTACCAGTAGGCTCAGGGATTTGATCCCTCTCATTTACAAAGGACTAGTGAGACAAGAGTGCTGGGGCCAGTTCTGGGCTTCCGAAGACAAGAGGCAACTGAAGGGCCAAAAAGACAATAAAAGGACTAAGAGCATCTTTCTTACCAGAAAGAGCAGAACTGGGACTGCTAAGCCTTGAGAACGCTCAGGGTATCAGCTATTGCTTTTCTGATTTGAGAAGGGAACTTTAAAAAAAATTAACAGTATTTTAATCATAAATTAGACAGCAAATCTATATTCCCAAAGTTCTGACTCTGTCATATTCCATATACTGTTTTGTCCTTTTTTCCTCCTATAGAATTGTGTTGTTTAGAATTGGTTTACATTGAAAAGAGTATTTCATGGATGTCTGATTAAACCTGAAATTTACAGTCAAATTTAACAGATGGGTATTTCTACTAAGAGCTGAATGACTTTTGATTTAAGACTAGCTTTGGGGAGGAAAAAAAAAATTAAAAAATCAACAACAAAAACCCAAATATTTCCTTTGCTTTTCTCTCTCACAAAGTCCCATTAAAAAAACAAACAACCATCAACACAATACCAATATTCTTCAGATGGACTTTTATTGTGCTTTTGTATACGAAGAATTTGAGGTTTTCTTCACACCTTTTTAGATAGATCAAGTCTACTGATTTGCATTAATGAATTCTGAAATGTACCATACTGAAGAACAAAAACAATCACAGTCCTGCTTTGCAGAAGCTACTAAAATAGGATTTCATGCTGCACTGACATTGGGTTTTAGGACCCAATGTAAATTGCACTGTAGGTTGCATATCACTTAGCACCTATGTTTTTTTTGGCAACTCACTGGTGCTGTCAACGTTTTCTTTAATTAAAACATCAATGAACAACAAGTACGCAAGTATTAACTAAACAGCACAACCAACCATCTTTGAAAAGATTTACTACTCCAACACTACCGAATGCGTGAATAAATGGCTATTAAGAAAATGTTTGCTGTAAGTATGTATGCAGATGTTTTCAGAAGACAGAGCTACCTCTCAAACCATGCAGTCCTTCAAAAAAGTAACTTTTCAATAAAACTGCAGCATAGTTTAGAGACTGCTTCAGTAATTAGGCAGACAAGGCATTTTTTATCAAAGCCTGCCTCCTTGTGTTTGCACCACAACATCTTCAAAGTAAAGAGTCACACTCATTTCAGTTTTGTTTCTGTGTTGTTTGTTTGTTTGTTTGTTTTTAAAAACTTATTTTACTTACTACAAGTCACATATTCTTTTGGCTGGGCAATCTATGTAGCCTAACTTCCTGGTATCCCCTTATACCTATTCAATCAACTGAAAACATGACCCTGACATGAAACACCTACAGTATGACTTTAATCAATAAAATAATAAGAACTGTGAAAAAAGTGTCAGGTGGAACAGTACAGATATTAACAGAAAGTGTTGATTATAACAGTCCTGAACACTTCATTAACTACAAATTTCTGATCTAAGAGGAGAATCATCTTGTGAGATTATCGTGTACAAATCAACAGCTAATTGATGGTATGTGAATTTGAATGCCCAAAAACGTGGTGAAGCGTGAAGGGTTTGCAAGGAATATGCAGAACCACAAGAAATAAAACCGGATCTTAATTTCAGCAGTATTTCTAGAAAGTAAAACATTAAATGTGGTAAGCTGCACAACAGCATCCATGTTATTCTGTAGTATTTTATTTTTCATATTGAAAACAATATGGTTGCCCAAAAAACACAAAGCACCCTTACTGCTGCTATCCGTATTGTCTAAAACAGAGGTTAACAACTACCAAATCATATTTTCTTTAAATTAACACAAGCCAGCAATATCAAAATGAATGAATTCTGCTTTCTCCCCACGCTTGTTCCTTGGCTTTACACGAGAACAGCTGTGTAAGCAGCAGTGCAATGGGCCCAGCCGAAATATCTTGTTGTTGTCCACCATACAATTACACAAAGATTTGCCTCAAGTATCTTTAGAGTAGGAATGTGAAGCCAGAGTAATACAATGTCTTCCTTGGGTGGCAGTTCTGGTTTATGCTAACTTAATGCTTCAGATGAACTCAAAAAAAAAAAAAAAAAAGTGAGAGAAAGTTTAAAGTGATATATGCCAAAGAAATGTGCAACTGCCA